TTTGTAGATTCTTGAATTCTTGTAGGTTTCCATTCTGAGCTCATCCAGCTTATTAAGTTGTAGGAGACGTTTTTCACCCGCAGCCTTCAAATCCAAATTCAATTTCTTCATTGCCCAGTAAGCATGATGTTCTATCTCAAGAGGTAAGTAGCATGCTTTCCCGAAAACCAGTCGATACGGTGACATTCCTATAGGGGTCTTGAATACAGTCCTATAGGCCCACAAGGTGTCGTCCAGTTTCTTAGACCAATCCTTTCGTGACGAGCTTACTGTGACTTCGATTATTCGCTTCAATTGTCTATTGGACACTTCGACCTGTCCGCTGGTTTGGAGATGATATGCAGTGGCTACACAATGTTTAAAGCCATATTTAGCCAACAATTGTTCAAACTGACGATTGCAGAAATATTTGCCCCCGTCACTGATTATAGCCCTCGGTATTCCAAAGCGGGTAAAAATATGTTTCTTTAGAAACTCAATCACCACCTTCCAATCATTGGTAGGTAATACAACGACCTCTACCCACTTCGATACATAATCCACAGCCACTAATATGTACTGATTAGAGAATGATGGGGGAAATGGCCCCATGAAGTCGATCCCCCAGACGTTGAATAATTCCACCTCCAGGATACTGTTCAAAGGCATTTCATTTCTCCTGGATATATTACCGGTGCGTTGACATGGGCCATACCTTTTCACGAATTCAAAAGCATCCTTAAATAGGGTAGGCCAATAAAAACCTGATTGAAGGATCTTCGCTGCTGTTTTCGAAGCACCAAAATGCCCTGCATATGTAGATGAATGACAATGTTCTAATATCAAAGGCACTTCTTCCTCAGGTACGCAGTGACGAATAATTTGATCAGCCCCTCGTCTATATAGAATGGGATCCTCCCAAAAATAATATTTCAATTCGAAGAAAAATTTCTTCTTCTGGTGACTGGAGTAATCAGGCGGCATGATAGACCTAGCTAAGTAGTTATCTATGTCCGCATACCAGGGTGCCTCCCCCATACCAAAAATCTGTTCATCTGGGAAGACTTCGTTGATTTCCACTGTTTCTGTCTGTTCTGTGGCCTCGAGTCGATATAAGTGGTCTGCCACCACGTTTTCACTGCCCTTCTTATCCCTGATTTCCAAGTCAAACTCTTGAAACAATAGTATCCAACGAACGAGACGTGGCTTTGCATCCTTCTTTTCCATTAAGTACTTGATGGCAGCATGATCTATGTAAACTATGACCTTTGACCCCACAAGAGATGATCAAAATTTGTCAAAGGCGCAGACAACGGCCAGGAGCTCTTTCTCTGTAGTAGCATAATTTAGTTGAGCGTCGTTCAAAGTCTTACTTGCATAGTAAATCACGTGAAATATCTTATTTCTTTGTTGTCCCAAGACGGCCCCAACAGCAAAATCACTGGCGTCGCACATTAATTCAAATGGCAGATTCCAATCCGGTGTGATGATCACGGGTGCTAAAATCAACTTCTCTTTCAAAGTGTTAAAAGCCTGTAGACACTCATCCGTGAACTCAAATGTGGATTCCTTCATCAACAAATAGCACGATGGTTTAGTAATCTTTGAGAAATCCTTGATGAACCTTCTGTAGAAACCGGCAGCCCGAGGAAACTACGAACACCTTTCACTGATGTAGGTGGTGGTAATTTCTCGATCACCTGAATCTTTGCTCTGTCCACTTTAATACCCTTTGCAGAGATTATGTGTCCTAGCACGACGCCTTCCTATACCATAAAGTGGCATTTCTCCCAATTCAATACCAAGTTAGTCTCCGTGTACTGCTGTAGCACAATACTCAAATGCTCCAAGCACTCATCAAACGAAGACTCGAACACTAAGAAGTCGTCCATGAATACCTCGATGAATTTCTCAATCATATCTGAGAAGATAGCCATCATGCAGCTCAGAAATGTTGTTGGAGCGTTGCATAAACCAAACAGCATCCTTCGGTATGCAAAGGTAAAGTAGGGGCAAGTGAAAGTTGTCTTCTTCTGATCGTCAGGTGCTACTGGAATCTGATTATACCCGGAATACCCATCCAGAAACATTAATGCGAATGCCCTGCTAGTCTCTCCAACATCTGATCAATGAACGGTAGTGAAAAGTGATCCTTTCGAGTAGCAGCGTTTAGTTTGCGGTAATCGATGCAAACACTCCATCCAGTCACTGTCCGTGTAGGAATCAACTCATTTTTCTCGTTTTCTATCATTGTGATATCACCTTTCTTGGGAACAACTTGTACTGCACTAATCCATGCACTATCTGATATTGGATAGATGATGCCTCCGTCGAGCAACTTCAATACCTCAGCCCTAACCACTTCCTTCATGTGTGGATTCAATCTCCGCTGACCATCAATGCTTGGTTTGAATTTTTCCTCCATGAGTATTTTGTGCATGCAAAGCGACGGGCTGATCCCCTTGATATCTGCAATCGACCATCCAATGGCTGTTTTATTCTCCCTTAGCACCCGAAGTAGTTTCTCTTCCTCTACCTCACTGACAGTACTTGAAATAATAATAATAGGTAGTGTAGAAGATTCCCCCAGGTAAGCATATCGAAGGTGTGGTGGCAGTTGCTTGAGTTCCAATTTGGAAGGTTGCTGAATAGATGGCACTGACTTTGTAGTCCTAGTTCCCAGCTCTTCGAAATAACGTCTGCGCATGTATGGCACTGACTTTGTAGTCCTAGTTGCTTGAGTTCCTACCTTTTGCTTTCAAATTGTTAATGGAAATTTATTTGCACATCTTAAAAAATTTTGACACTATAATTGCAATTAATCTTTTTTCTTTTTTATTTTATTTAAATATGATGGTGTATTCATCGTTTTACAACTTTTAATTGAAAAAATAGATGAAAATGATAATTATCGCAATAAAATGTAGAAAAAAAAGATGAAAAAGTCAAAAAATTAGAAGGTAGAGATGTTTTGCACAATAATATTGAAAGATAAGGACTTTTGTGTTAATCACCCTTATTAACATAGCCCTCCTGAAAGACACGTCTTGCTTCAAGTTTTTATTTCAAATTTAGAGGACGTTTGGTGAGAATTAAAATTAGATTTTTTAGTAAATTGTGAGAGAAGTTTTTAAAATGTGTTGTTAATATTGATTGTTTGACTTTGATTTAGTTTAAAATCATATTTTAATCTAAACCAAACATACTCTTAGAGGGTGTTTGGTGAGAATTAAAATTATATTTTTTGGTAGACTGTGATAGAATTTTTTTAAATTTGTGGTTGAAAAGTTGTGAACTTCATAAAAAATATGGTTAATATTGATTATTTGACTTTGACTTTGACTAAATAACAAATAATCGAAGAGAGCAACTCATTCTTGAAAATAGATCCAAGATTTATCGTGTAATTTTTTCCTTTACAATTTGGTACCTTGATGTTCGCGAAATTATTTATTCCGATTTAAAATCCGCCGCAAGTGTACAGTTCGTTAACAAGTAGTAAAATAGACTATGAGTCCAAGTATCGATCCCACGAGGATTGAATTAGTTCAAATTAATCTAGTACGACCTTAACCGAAACACGACAACCAAATTGAGGTTTTGTACTTTAACTAACAAAGTGTAATCGTTGATGCACTTATGAATGACGAATTATACTAAGTGCAAAATAACTTGGATGCAATTTAACTAGAATTTTATGGAATTAATAAATGTATTAACGCACTAGGATCACGAATCCCCAAGCAATACCCGTTCAATTATCAATTATGCAACTTTGACACACAATTCTACAAAAGATGAATCGATATTCCTATTTTAATTTAGCAATCTCTCTCGAACAATGCCAAACCTATCCCAATATATGATTCGACTATATTTCTATGACGAATACTAATATACCGACATGCATTATAATTTCACGAATATCCAATGATTCACACAAGGCATAGAGGTATATTTCTATCCCCTATCGGACCCTATGATGATTTATACTATATCGAACATATTTTCTTTCTTTCGAATGCATAAAACAGGCCACCACAATCATAAAATTACGTGCACAATAATCATATGAAAATAAAAACGCAATTAATCAATCAAATTCGGAACTTGTGTTCAAATACATCAAAAATCCAAAACAACAATTAAACGTGGTATTACAAGGTTCATCGATCTCCTAGCAGTAATAAATCTAGCCTAACATGCTAAAAGAATGAAACATAAAAATATTTAAAGAAACGATATCACCCGAATCAATCTTCAATCTCATCTTCACTTGGCGCGATGTTGTTCTCTTGTTCTATCCTTCGTTTCTCCTTCAAAATCTCCCAAAAACATGTAAAAACGACGTCCCCTACGTTCTGGTCGAGTTTTTGTATTTATAGGACCCTAAAAATATTGTTTTCATAAGAGTTTCGAAATAAAAAGGAAACTAAATTTTTCCTCGAGAATTGCTCTATGCGGTCGCATAGAGTAAATTTTTGGAGCATCTTTGTTTTCGATATGCTACTATGCGACCGCATAGAGGATAGTACTATGCGGTCGCATAGTACTATCAAATATGACAGATGTGTGTTTTGGTCCTTTCACTTGCATCATTCATTTCTTGGCATCTTCTCTTCATTCTTTTCATTTCTTCACCCCACGATATCGTTAATTGGTAATTGGCTTAATTGACTTCTCGATTTGTTCATCGGATCAACTTTTGGATATTTGCTCTTTGGTCCCTGAACTTTCACTTTGAATCATTTCAGTCTTTTTTCGCGTCTTCTCTCCTGAATTTCACCATGTTCATCGTTGTTTCCTACAATTCACAAATGTACGAGATTAAGTCACAATTCAATCATTTTGCTCGTTATTAAGTCATGTTTGTGATTTAAATAAATGTGTAAAAATACACTTATCACTTGACTTGAGTATCTCGATACAATTATCATGCTGGGAGAACTTTTAAGTGATCACAAGCTGTGCTTTCTCGAAATGAGTGAATAATAAGTAGACAACAATTATGATCCTACTAAATTATTATTTAAGATTTGGCAAACATGGACCTAAGGAAGTTGGAACGGCAAGAAGGTTGAATTTCATACGTACGTGAAAATGGGAAGAAGCTTTGCCAATTCCCTTTTTTGAACTTCAAACCAGCTAAAAAGCCCCAAACTTCAAACCTCAAAACCCTCAAGAGAGAAATAGAATTTCAATAAGAGTAATGTCGGAGATTCACAACACGCGAAACCCATTGGCTCTTCATTTTCAGAAACTTGGGCTGGAACTCAAATGCGCCCTTTGGTATATTAATCTTCCTCAATTGCTGTTATTTCTTCATATTTCATCGATGTATGCATTTTTTCCTGTAAACTTATGGAATTTTGTGTGATTTGTCTTGCATGTTGATGTTATAGTCTGAACTTGCTGAATAAACCCAAGTTGCTCCCCTGCAATCACATATTCTGCAAGTAAATTCTTTTCTATACGAATTTAATGTGCTTTTACTTTATTTCCTAGTCTTTTGGGGAATTTCTCGGCACTTTTCTGATTCAATTTCGTTTCATTTTTTTGTTTAATATAGGTTTTGCACTCCCCAATTAGGATCAGAATGCCCTACATGCACACATCTGTTTGTTGATGGAGGTATTAATTAATAAAGTTTCTTTACAATCATAATCATTCTTAAATCTTTCATTTTCATCTCAATTTGGGTTTGCAAAAAAATTAATTTGGATGCGGAATCAAATTTGAGAACCCTATAATGTAAAAATACGTGCGGGAGTTAGATATTCCTCTTCTTAATGCCATTAATAACTAATCAATATTAACTTTTTGAGGGATATTTCATCATTGGTCCCAAAAGTATTGTCTGCCTAGTAATTTGGTCTCCTAACATTTGGAAAGAGCAAGATGATTCTCAATCTTTTATTATAGTTGCACAAACTGTCCCCAAAGATAAAGATTGTCCAAATTTTCTTTAATTTATTATCTATTCTCATGGAAAAAGCTTCATTTCAAAATTTTATGTAACTACTCAAGTTGAGAAACAAAATTTAGCTTTATAATTGTGAAGATGTGAGAGTTGCATCACAATTTAACAGAGAACAGACGATTTTAGGTTCTGGGGACTAATTGCGCTTCTATAATGACAGGCTTTGGACTAATTTGCTACTTGGACAATAGGTTGGGGGCCAATAGTGCAAATTTTCCTAATATTTATTGTTATCTGATTATGGGACTCTCTACCAATCTAAATTGTTGTAATATTGGAATAAATTGATGCATGTTGCAGAGATGAGGTCAGTTCCACTCTTGGAGAATATCATTACCATTTACAAAAGCATGGATGCAACTTATAATTCTACTATCTCCCCACATTTGTCTAATGGTAACACCAGTAATAGATTATCATTCAAGCTATCATTATTTACACATTTTCTTGATCCCAATTCAATATGGGCAATGTGAATGTTACATAATCGGTATGATTTAATTCAGATTCTGGAAAATCATTGAACTGGTGCTGGGAATCAGTTACTAGCCTTGATGACAAAACAAGAAAGAAACTTGACGAAGTAGAACTTCAAGGAAGTGATCTAGGCAGCAGAGATGGGGTATGATTCAAGATTTCTAGTACATTAAATTGAAAGTACAACATCACTTCGTATCTTTTACAAATCTATGCATTTTATTCTACTTTTTTGCTTTTCTATTATTATTTGTATACTTTGTAATTCATAGCAAACTTCTCAAACTTAAGTGATGTGCATGTTCTTCCGAATAAAGTACAAGCTATAAAGTATGCACAGCTATTGAAGCATTCTTCAACAGGGGGAGCACCATTAGTATGTGCTGTATATGTATGATTGTTTAATGGTCAATTTTTAGTTTTTCTGTTTTTCTTCCTCTTTATAGAGGGCTTCTGATAAATGCCCTCTGTTGATAGTTGTTCTTTGCTTGACCGGTCCATTTTTCCATGATTTCCTATTAGTTGATCGTGAAAAGGCCTGGTAACAAAATTGAAGAAATTAAACCAAACCAAATTATCAAATCATATCAATCTATAGTTCAACCATGTATGAATCTTGCTAAGCTTATCTATATAGTTTTAACCATTAAATCATAAATTCTACCATAGAAATTTTCATGCTGTTGTAAAATTCAACTAGCAGAGTTTTTGAGCTAACGTGAGAAACATGTTAGTTCCTAAACATGTCAAATTGTTGTGGGACTATATCTTCTATCTTTAAGCTGCTGTCATTAACAAATGCAGAGTTCTGGAACATATAGAGCCAAAAGATTAGTCGAGGGTGATTTTGATACAGCTGCTGGTGAAATAGCTGATAGAAATTTCCATCAAGACCCATTGCACACAAGGGATGCCAAAAGACAAAAAAAACAAGATTATGGGTTGTCTAAATCAGTTGGTGAAGGATTAGCGTCTCCTTCTGACAACACAGCAGTTTCCAACCTTAATGGGGAACCCCGTGATGCACCGAACATAGACAGAATTGCTTGCTCCTTCTGTCATTCTTCTAAGCAGACAGAAGTAAGTTTCAACATGAATAATGTCTCTTATATTTTCTTTGTTATGCAAGTCTTATGCTATCGACTTTTTGTTGTCGCCATCAAAAAATTGTGGATTAGAGGTAAAATATATCTCTATATGTTTGAATCAGCCTTTGTTTCTTTGAACTAATTTTTTTTTCCTACATATTGTAGTGGACAGGACCAATGCTTTACTATGCCAAGGGAAAGCAAGTAGTAGGAGATGGTGCAGCTCTAGCTAAGGCCATTCCGGTCCATAGTAAATGTCTTGAATGGTATCCATGGGAATATGCTTTATTCTCTGAAATTGGATCTTGATGTTAGACTGATATGCTATAATCTTACAAGGGTAATATATATTATGCCAAATAGAATATTTCCCTGAGATAGAAGCTTCTTTTCCATCTCTGAGAAGTACTCTTGCCAACTGAAGACTTCTTCATATTAAAATGCTCTTTCCAATGCATGAACTAATTTTTTGAACCGTTATAGATAGCAGAGAGTTCTTGTTGATCCCAACTTGAGCCTGGATTTGGTTACATTGTTGTTTTATCTCTTGTTCTAAATTGATATACTTACCCTAGGGGACTGTATCACAATATTCAATATTGTAAATTAAATATTGCAGGACCCCTCAAATTTATTATGTCGGGGAAACAGCAAAGAATTTGGAGTCTGAAGTGGCAAGGGCTTCTAAGCTCAAGTGTAGTGGATGTGGGTTGAAGGGAGCAGCACTTGGTTGCTTTGTTAAGTCCTGCCGTAAAAGTTATCATGTGCCTTGTGCTGTTGAAATTTTGGATTGCAGATGGGATTGCGTATGTTGATTCTATTATGCACTCTTGATCTGTTGATATCAAATCCGAATTCCACTTTCCCTGAGCTTTATACATCATAAAACAAACTTGCAGGAGGATTTTCTAATGCTCTGTCCAACTCACAGCTCTGTTAAATTCCCAAGGGAAAAATCCAGATCTCAAGAGTTTGGAAGTGACAAAATGGATTCCTCGTCCACTAAAATGTATGGAGGCTTTTTTATTGTCTTTTATACGCGACCCTTTTTTTTCCCCCCAACAATTAGTAAATTTACTATTTGAACAAAATGTAGTTGCTTTTGGAGAAATCTTACTCTTTTTTTCCAATGTTTTGTTTACTTGTATAACTCAGGCGGTGGGACGTGAAAAGAGATTTGTGCCCTCCTTTGGCTAATATACCCAGGCTTTAAAGTTGCTTTTTGCCAAACCCAATACTGAGGAATTTGGGTGACAAATTCTTATTCTGAAACAACCAAGTCCTTTTTCATTTGTGTCAATTAATGTATTGTCAAATAATGGTTTGAGAAAATATATATTTAAGAAAGCCAAGGTCATCTTCGCGTTTCTCATGTTTTATGATCTAAGAACGTCTTATTGTAATATTTCTGAAACTTACTAAAGAATGATGCTCCATTTGAAGTCTATTGTAGGAATCTTTGACTGGTCTTCTCATATCTTTTAATGTCATGATAAAGAGTTCGGAGGTTCATCAAATCAAGTCATTTGACAAACTACAAATCATTATTTTAATTTTGGCCGGTTGAAATAGGCTATCCAGTTGCATTTATTGGCCATTTCTAAATTGATGTGAAGTCTTCTATCATGGGTGCAGATCCTCTAATGCGTTGAGATTTTGGGAAATGTCACCTACTGGACCAAAAGAATGGTTTTTCTGTGGATCTGCTTTGTCTTCAGAAGATAAGGTTGGTACTACTGAATATTAACTGTGATATAATAGTTGTGCAGAGCACCGGTAAAATAGGAAGATCCGAGAGATACTTTGTCATATTATTGATTCAGTTATTTGTAGTAATTGAAGTTCAAAATGCTTAATCAGATCTGAAGAAATGCTCAGACATCTCTCACTTGTAAAATATTTCTCTTTTTAGATTTGTACATTTAAAGTGATTTTTCTGCCCTTCCTTTTTCCTTTTTCCTTTTTCCCCTTTCCCCTTCTCTGGTAATTGAAGATAAATATGTTTGAAGAAGTGCCATTTTCACCTCAGATTAGCCATTTCACCATAGAGCTCTTGGTTTTATACCGTGCCCGAGTAGAAATGTCAAACAGCCTAATTATTCCCTTTTGATTTTGGGTATGCAGTATTTGCTGGTCAAGTTTGCTACCATGTCTGGAGCAACTGTGTTCAAGTTTTGGAACCCAAAAGTTACACATGTTATTGCAGCCACAAATGCAGAGGGGGCATGCAGTAGAACTTCCATATTTCTCATGGCAATTATGAGTGGATGTTGGATCCTTACAATGGATTGTAAGCCCCATGTACATATCAACTTATGTTCAAGCAGCAAGTTTGTTTTTCCTTGCTTGGCCATTTGGAGTTCCATTCGCTTGAAACATATATGACTTCAGCTATTTTGAGAGGAGTCAAATATTTTCCTCAATGATTTTTCTCCTTTTGACTGGGCATAATGATAAAAATCAAGAGTTGCTAAGTTATCAAATGACTTGTGCCATTGATTGGGCAATAACTGCATAGATCCACACTCAGAATGAACAAAGAAAATCTTGAAAGATATAATTGGATAATTGTTTTGTTTGACTTATTGATCATTCTAGCGATTTACCGTGCAATCCACTTATTTTCAGGGATAAAAGTTTGTATGGAAGCAAATCATCCTATGAATGAAGAACCATATGAAGTTAAACAGGACAATCACGGTTGTTGTGATGGCCCCAAAACTGGCAGACTTAGGGCATTAACTAATGTAAGAGTTACTAATTTTGCAAAAGAATGCATTCTGTTCACTGTTGTTATTACATTACATTTAGACATCATGTATTAGACCAGGAAAGTCACAGATGGGTAATTTTTCAGATTTAATGCATATCTACAGTTTTTGTTGTCTTATGAATGATGAGAAAAGAGACATTATATTGTTGTGATCTAGAGGTACTAGATTGTAGATTTTTTAGCTATATGTTCTCAATCACTTTGTTGAGAATCTCAACTTGTGTTGATGCATTCGTAACTAGAAAGCTAGCACTATGTGCTGAACAATTTTTTATTGTTACACAGGCACCAAAGCTTTTTCATGGTTTGAATTTCTATTTTACTGGGGATCACGTGCCAACTTACAAGAACGAACTTATAGATCTAGTTACAGTTGCTGGAGGTACGGTTATTGATAGCATGGAACAGATGATTGCACAAATGCAAGAGACTCGAACAACTTCTACATGTTTTTTTGTTTATAATTTTGGTTCCCAAGAAGGATGCATATCGGAAACAGCAAGTTCACCTTATATGCAAAGATTAGCAAAAGCACAGAATGTAGCCAAAAACCAAGATTCTCAGGTCATTCCGCACACATGGATTTTGGAATCAATAGCTGCATGTCGGTTGCTGCCTTCTATTTGCTGAGAATCCTATGCACCTTTCTCCTTTATTATGAATGACATAATCTCAGTTAGTTTGATTTTGATGTGCCCTAGGAATTGTTATGTAGGAAGATTTAACGGGAATGTCTGGGATGTTGTCCACTGTTTGATATATTGGACTGTAGATCTCTGTATATGGTTAAGGAATTTAAAGAAGTTATAATTTTGTCCAATGTCATTGTGTAGACTTGGTAATGTCCAATACATGCGTATATTACAGAATACAATCCTACAAGGACTGAATGGGCTTTGAAATGTTGGTTTGTTTGATAAATAATACTTGACAGACAGGATCAACAAGGAAAAAGTTCAAATCTTATCCAATGTTCTGTGCAGACGCAACAGTTTTGACTACTGCATACTAAAGCGTGCAACTTGAAAAAAAATATTGAATTATTTTTATGGAGATTCGTGCTTTTATACATTGCCCAATAATATTGTGAACATTTGATTTGTTTCACTTACATGAAAGATCACTTCACGATACTAACCCATCATTTTTGGTAGAAATTCATATCACGCTACGTAATTCTTTGGGTTGGTCCAATTATAGATCTCGTAAAATTTTGAGAAGGGAGCTGAAGATTAGAGAAGGGAAGCGATTAGACTGTATTAGCCACAACCACCCTACGCCATGAATGACATTGCAGCTTTTAGACTTTCAGATGTTGCTTGCTTCTCTTTTAGTGCTACTAGGTGACGGTTTCTTGTGTTGGTTTTTCCCCTACTAGTTTCACTAAGTAGCAAGTGATAGTTGTCACCTTTGGGATGGAATGGAGTTGACTCTTGAATTTTAAAACACGTGCATTGGAATGATGCCAACATTTCTCATGATGCATTATTATGCCAACGATCAATTTTGTCGTTGTAAGGATATTGGAATGGCTTTGGCAAGCTATGAAGACATAAATGATAAAACGAGAGAAGAAGAATATATTTATCTCCCACTAATTTATAGTCCATTGTACACAATTATAAAGATATTCTCTCGAAGAAAGTGGACACCAAATTTCGTTCTCGATTACATGGACTGAATCAATGTGGAGTGGTTGTTCTAATTTGAGACATCTGTCTTTGAAGTTGAGGACATTGAGCCCGTCGAGGGATGTCTCATATGGTGGTGTTCAAGGCTTTTGAGCGTTTACTAAGCTTGATACTTATTATATCTCTCATTATTCTTATTATGTCAAGTCTTCATGATCAGTAAGTTATTGTTATCATCTTGAAAGCCTAAATTAACTCATGGGACTGATGATGGTAGTGGAGTAGTGTAGTTGCAAATTTAATAGGCAGTAGGGAAAAAATCACGTTCAAAACATTATTTTTGATAAAAAAAAATGGTCATGAAACCGTTCCTCCTCGCAAATACCATCACCTATATCCTCCTCCATCTTTTAATTTCGGGAAATGATCTAATAAGCATCGGTGTCTAGCTTATATTAGGTATCGATAACATGGCACATAAATTAATTGATGAATCATTAAATTCATGAGACCTATCATTAATATATACACAAATCAATTATTGTGTCATGTACTTATTCCTTCAATTTCCCACGCAAACCAAGTACCTTGAAACAGTGAAAACCCTCGAACCTCAAAAAACACACGAAAATGAAGAAAGATTACAGCAATGTCGGAGACTCTGAACACGGGAAGGGTGCTGAAACCATGGGCTCTTCTTCTTCAAAAACTTGGCCACTCAAGTGCGCCTTTGGTATTTCCTCCATGACTCCATTATTTTTGGGTACCACTATTTTCTTTCATACTTTTTATATATTCATCCACTTTTAAAAATTAAATTTTGTTATATTTTAAATCCTATGTAAATTTACTCAAATAGACATAAACAAAATTAAATAAAAATATATAATTCTAAATTGATTCACTAGTTTTTATTTTCATTTATGCTTAATTAGAATCTTAATAGATAGAGAAAAATACATGAATATAATTATAGGTGATGGTGGCCCTAAATGTGATTTCTGTGCCAAGAATCATATCGGATTTTGAAAAATGCAAAATAGAATTTGATGCAGTTTCATCAGTTAATCAAGAAAGAACAATAATTGTAGCCAACAAAGTTAGTAAAATTTAGTTTGCTTAATCGAACTTTTTTCTTTTTTCTTTCTTTAGTCTTTGTTGTTTGAAACATTCTAATACTCAGAACTTCAATAAACAAATAATTTATTTCATGGTAATTTAATGTTCAATCAGTTCAGCTTTATTCTTATTTCATTCATTTGATTTAAGAATTTATGGTTTTAGGGATTGGACGAATCTATGGTGATAAGGATGTAATTAAAGTGAGATGAATATATAAAATTTATGTGGATATATAGTATTTAAATGAATGAATTTAATAAGGTTAAAATTGGAATATGATGTGGACGTAAATAGTTTTTTTAAAATTTTTATAATTTTATTAGGGATGAACTTATAGTGTAATGTACTTATAAAAAATGCGGATGGAAATAACAGTACTCTTATTTTTTCCGTATGATGTATGAATTACTTATAAGCTTATTAAATGTTTTGGTGGTCTGCACTTACTAAATAAACCCACGTTGCTCCCTAGCAATCACGTCGTCTGCAAGTAAGTGTTATATATTTGTGGTATAAATATAAAATGTGAAAGAAATAATCAAATTAGATAAAGTGTCAAAGTGGTGGAAAATGTGACATTTGTGTGGGACGTCAGGGGTTCGAGTCACTCCCCACGCAGATATTAAAATGTCTTGATTGGGGCCTTGGGGTCTTGGGCTTCCTTGACTAAAATAAATATTTTATTATTATTATTTAATGGGTAAAACTAGCCAGTATTTTCTGACTGTTTGTTTTTGTAACAACCCACTAACAGCTATTAAAACACCCACTACTCAGTCAATAAAATTCTGTATTAACATGGTGAAGACTGTTACTACCATCTTGCCTATATAAACCCATATCTCATTTTGGAAAAAATACACACAAAAAGACAATAGAAAAATCATCTTGCATCAACCTCCCTTTTCATATTCTGAATTTCTTATATTCGGGTTTTACATTTATTCTGGAGTACAATTGAGAGTTCTAGAAAAACCATTCGTAATTGCTGCACAAGTGGTTTAAGATCGTTGAATCCTGGGAGTGATTGTCCACGGAGGTCACAGCAATTATTGACGGGCAATTTCACTTTAGGACATCGTGCTGTCACGAGACTCGATCGGACGATAAGTTTTATATTTCTGCATTATATTGTTCAGATCACTACTGCAGCTAATTAATTTTTTCCAACAGTAAGTACTTTTTATTACGTTTTTGTGCGTGCATTTAGTTGTTTTTTTTGTCCTTTGTGTGGTTTATGTTCCTTTTTTTTGCTGTTCTTTGAAGTTTCACATTTACAGTATATATTTTTGTTTATGTAAATTTTAAATTCCAAAATCGAGCCAATTAGGAACAGAATCAGTTTGTTGATACTTTAATATAATCTTTGTTAGGACTTTATAGCACGGAGCATAAATATCTTTGGCTAATATTTTTTTTCATTATTCTTTCCTTTTCATCCTTGAAATAACGTAGTTTGACCCAAATAACACCTAGATGGGGGGTGAATAGGTATTTATGCTGAATTTTACAAATTAATTAATAAATGTAACAAGTCACAATTATTAATGTGTCCAAGTCTATTCACATGCTTTACTATCCTACGTTAAATTACCGGAAATAAGTAAATTGCAGAAATATAAAGACCACAGTTGTTTGATGACGGAAAACCCCCAATGTGAGTAAAACTCCGAGACCAAGCAAGTAATTTCCACTATACCAATCCAACAAGTACAAGTTCTGCCAAATTTCGTACCCAGTCAAACCCGCTGTTCCAGCATCACGATCTGCTATTGTAGATACTACTAGTCTCCTGGTAGCTTCTCGATTTACCTTCTGTAGCCCAATCTACTGTCCAATACAGCCTCCTAGTCTTTAACTGATTGTATCACCAAGTGAAATTTCAAGAACCTCTCTCAATCCCCCAATGAGAGAATCCGTTCCTCAAAGGATTAAGGAACCATGGTGTTTTGTCTTCGAGAACCCTGATGTTTTTCCCAAAAATAATGGTTGCTGAATTACAAAATTGATGTAGATGAAATCACCAATTAATTTCGCCTTGGATCACTTAGCCACAATATTTTGACCCAATTGCTCATGTAATTCCTTTACAAAACTCTTCCAAAGCTGCCATCAATGTTGTGAATATATATATATAATAAAAGTAGCTCTCAATTGTTGACTTTTCAAAGGAACTCCAAGTGATGGTATATTGGTTTTGTTATTTCCATAAAGCTGCTTAATTCTTGACTCCAGTAGCACGTGAATTTTATTCAATTCATTCCCAAATCTGCTTCGGTTTTTTCGTGAATATATATACCAAATTCGGGCCGAGCAGCTTTTAATTCCAACCCTTTTCTGCCTCAATTTCCGTGTAGTTATATCATCCAATTTCAGCAACCAAAGGCAGCCTTTTATTCCATTCCCAGGTTTTGTCTCCTCAATAGTAGTCGCCCTTTCTGCCTCCGTTTTGTGCGAATATATATGTTTAAATTCAGCAATTGACCAGCCCTTTCATTCCTCCAGCAATCTCAGTAATTCTGTCTCCCACAGATGTCGACACCAATGCGTAATGTATAAAAAAGATAATTCTTCCCAACCGGCAGCCGCTTCTTGTATCTCTCTCTTTATCCCAGGCGGCTCTACCTTTCTGTAGGCTTTAGAGGTATATATATAATTTTTGGCTGGCTCCCTTTCCATACAAAAACCAAACCCTAACAGCTATACAATATTGCACATCAAGCCTTAACTTTTAAACATGTTCAATTAAGTCCCTTTTTGTTCATAGAATACCAATTACAGTTTTAGACCTAACAATTTGTATTTCGTTCATCGGCGGGTTTCAATCAAATTTTACTAAAAATTCCCCTGAGTTTTGTTCATTGGCATGTTTCTAATCAAATTTGACTAAAATTTCATCTGAGTTAGGTTAATTGCACGTTTCCAATCAAATTTGAGAAAAAATTCATCTGCATTTTGTTCATCGGCGGGTTCCAATCAAATTTGACTAAAATTTCTCATGAGTTTACTTCATTGGCGCATTTCCGATCAAATTTGATTCAAATTTAAATTTGATTTTGTTTATTAGCGGGTTTCCAATCAAATTTGACTAAAATTCCGCTTAGGTTTAGTTTATTGGCGCG